GTGAAGAATTTGGAGGCCAAGGCAAAACTTTAAACTCCTTACCATGTTCTTCAAACCATTCCTGAACAATTTTTACATTGTGGCAAAGTGCATTATCCTGCTGAAAGAGGCCACTGCCATCAGGGAACACCACTGCCATGAAGGGGTGTATGTGGTCTACAACGTTCTCTGTTAAGCGGTATGAACTGTTATTACCGTCACTAGATTAATGTGCTGTAGTTATGTGTATGTCTGAGTGTACAGTTCTCACCAGGGGTCTCATGTGTAAAACTTGGTAGGTTCAATCCTATAAGAAACAGTAAAAGCTTCATAATCCTCTACACTGTAAAAAATGACAGTGAATTTAACGGTAAAAGACTGTAAAAATGCTACAGTAAAAACCTGTTAAATGGTTAACGGTAAATTCCCCTACTGTATACGGTGAAAAACTGTATCGGACATTACATGTATTGGACATTAATATTATGGTAGTATACAGTTTTTGGAAGTGAAAAATACCGTATAATTTACAGTGAATAACCGTAAATTGACATACCCAGGATTCCCTGCATTACATTTCAAATTTGATGTTTTTTTGTTGAAATAACTATGCTTATTTTTTTCTTATCAGTTTTGTATATTAGGGTTGTGTGTTACACCTAATGTTGTTAAATGAATGTTTATTGCATTATTTCAGTTTCATGTGTGTTACCATGATGGTGTTTGGTGTTTGTGTGAATGACACTGTGCACCTTCTATATGTTATTATTTAAAAGCTGCTTGTGACGGGCTTTGGTTCATCATGTGACTTTCTCATCACCACCTGCATTTGGTGGCTATCAGTGTATTACAAAGGTACGAAACAAGATTTCAGTACTTCAATAGGTTGGTATATTAACATTATATCAGTTCATGAAATTACGGTACTTAACTGTAAATTTAAGTTAAAACCGTAAAACCTAAAACATTGCTACCGTATTTTTTACAGAAATTCCGTAAATGATTTTTTTTTTTACAGTGTATGTTAAAAATCACAAGGTATAAATGGGTAAAAACAAAAGGTCTGTGCAAAGTTCATTTTATAAATCCCAGTAATATTTTTCATAAATACTGATGTGTGCATGGGAAGTGCCGTACATGATTTTCAATGACCGAGCATTTAGACACAAGGCCCCTGATGTAGAGGCTCTTAGACTAGAGTTTCTCAAGCTTATTTCTTTCAGCTTCAAAGATGAGCACCACAAAGTGTTTGATCTTCAAAAGAGGATGACCAGCGCAGGAAAGACAAGAGAGTGATAATCTCTCGAGTTCAAAGAAGATGTGACATTTTCCAGCGACCTTATGGAGCATACAACACATGAAACCGCTTCCTGAAAAAGCAGGTCCATCATGGTCATTACTGGTGACATTTTAGCCTTGATCTGCCCCACATATTATTACAAAAGACATGCTGAGATACCAAAGTATAAAAATGACATAAAAGCCATTTCTATAAGCTTCTCTGTACAGTGTATGTTAAAAATCACAAGGTATAAATGGGTAAAAACAAAAGGTCTGTGCAAAGTTCATTTTATAAATCCCAGTAATATTTTTCATAAATACTGATGTGTGCATGGGAAGTGCTGTACATGATTTTCAATGACCGAGCATTTAGACACAAGGCCCCTGATGTAGAGGCTCTTAGACTAGAGTTTCTCAAGCTTATTTCTTTCAGCTTCAAAGATGAGCACCACAAAGTGTTTGATCTTCAAAAGAGGATGACCAGTGCAGGAAAGACAAGAGAGTGATAATCTCTCGAGTTCAAAGAAGATGTGACATTTTCCAGCGACCTTATGGAGCATACAACACATGAAACCGCTTCCTGAAAAAGCAGGTCCATCATGGTCATTACTGGTGACATTTTAGCCTTGATCTGCCCCACATATTATTACAAAAGACATGCTGAGATACCAAAGTATAAAAATGACATAAAAGCCATTTCTATAAGCTTCTCTGCCCAGAATAAAGCAGGACCAACATCATCACAACACGTAATCCAATCAGGAACAGAGGAGCATGTATCAACACTATGTCCACCTAGCGCATTACTGTCATTGACATGCACTTTACCCAATGCCTCCATTCTCTCTTCTCCTCCAGTGTTCTTTCAATCCAAGCACTTCAAATATTCATTTCCATCTCAGGTTTTAGCCCAGTCTCTGTCCTCAGTGGAAAGTCTGGAGCCAGGCTGGCTGAGAGACGACGTGAAGAAGGGCAATTACCTTCTGCCACCCGAGACTTCCAACAAAAACACCAGCGTGTATAATTAAAGAATGAATGGCGGACCTCTCTCTTTACTCTCTCACCCTTTCATGATCAGGGCCCCATTACGCGTGGACAGGAGGAGCACCGGGGGCCAGTGTGGGAACAGTTGAGATAAACGTCTTTTGTGAAATAAAAGAAAACCTCTCCAAATTACGACTGCTGTGCTTTCACCACGACCCATCGAGTAAATCTAAGGCTATAGCTGAGCTCTTTTAAGGAAACACTACACAATTACAATCACACTTATGACCGATTTCAATAGTTTGACATTAGCATGTTGCTAAACTAATTACACCATAATACTAAATACAAAATCAAATATTGGGCAATTCGTTTTTAATGAAAACTTTTTTTGAGCAATTAATGTTGAATAACATGAACATTCACCGTATTTTCTAAATGCATGCTATTGGGTTTATTGCAAAAGATCTAACCCTGCATTTTTTTTAACCACAACATTCTTAATCAAAATATAAACAACAATATATAATATAATATTAATCAACAGTTACTAAACATATTATAAAACAACAGACTTTTCCAATCATTCAGTCTGCTTAAACAGGCTCTCATTTATTTGCCTCCATTTTTGATTGCAAATTTTTTTTACAGTCGAGTGTACATCACAATACGAAATAACAAATCTGTCGCTACTTCAGGTTCATCACGACTTTAAGTAACTTTATAATCAACATTTCTCTCGACTCATCCACCATTTTTATTCAGCTTTTTTCTTTTTAGTCCACTGAGATTAATTCTGGGTTTGGATTTTACAAAATATGCAGTAACCTCAGCAAGAATTATGTATCTTAGCAAAATCCCTGAAATAGCCTTCCAAGGACACCTGTAATTCCTTCACGTGTTTAGGTTTTGAAACGAAGCCCAACTATGACGATCTATTAAGATTTTTATGGTTCAGGTAAGAGAAACGGGAGGGGATTAGAGACCATGACAAATCTTGGACATAGTACAATGTTTTATTAAAAAGTAAAGAAATTCCACGAAAGCAAGAAAAAAACAAAAACACTATCGGTCCCCAAATCTTCCTGGCCCTCCCTCCCTGCCCCTTGCTTTTATAGAACAAGATTTTACAACTGGCAGTGACACTGGCAGTCTTCGGAAATCTGTGGGTGCAAAAAAAGGGCAAGGATATCCTAAAAGTTCAGTTTCCCTACCAGCCCTTGGAGCTATAAATACATATGAAAACAGCTTGGACCACCACTAGTACCTCCTAACTGAAAGAAAGCATTTACACCTGTGAGACAACTCCATTTCCAAGTCCGCGAATCTTAAAGGTACATACTGTTCAGCCCATGTTTTACCGATGGCAAACAACAGGTCACATGATGGATAACATGTGGTAGAGCGTTTATGAAAATGGTACTAAACAAAAAAAGTATACAAATAAATGTCAGGCCCACAGAACATCATGAACCAGGACAAGCAGGTCATGACAGTGACCTCACTTCTGAAGTTTAAATTGAGCCTAATCCAGAAGGGGGGGAATTAAAGCAGAAACCTCCATTAAAAATTAGTTAATAAAGCCCTGAGCAGCACATCTGTTGTGCTGACAAACATCTTAAACTGAGGCTTCCGTGGCTACGATCAAAAAAAACAAAATATGGTCAAAGCTTATTATTTACATATTAATATAAAAAAGGAAAGACAGTTATGGTATTTTTTGATGAATGGATTATACACTCTCACATGGATGCATTAAAGCAATTTGTGCCCATTAGATCCTAGAATTTCACTTGAGTGTTTCCAAAAACAAGATTCACATCTGACTTAACCATCCTGATTTCAGGATCAATTTATCACTGCAAAGGTCTTTAGTGGGGATACAAACATTCAAATGTCAGTTTTACACCAAGGGGAGCTTTTCTTTCGAAGACCCCTGTAGTAGAGTGCCACCTATTGGTTTCCAGGGAATAAGAGCAGCATGAGGTTTTACAGGAATCATTAGATGCCAATACACAGGATCGGTGATCTCCTGCTTTTCAAAAACAGAAGTTGTTTAACCAAACTTAGGGATGACAGCTTTTATTGTAAAACAGCCAAAATAATAAACGACTAAAGAAAAGAAAAATCTGGTGGCACATTCAAAAATAAAGACTTTTAGTTCAATGCCATACCACCATGGGGGTTTAGTGCCAATTAAACAGCTCACAGAAAACACATAAGGTCAGTTTCACTGAAAGAGCCTACTTCTGGATGGTCACTGGTTAATAAAAGGCTGCATGAAGGTCTACGCAAAAGGATCGGTTTCATTCTGAATCACTTTATAACATTTACAGGTCAACTTTTACAGTGGAACCTCTCAAATCATCAAAATGAGACATGGCTTGGGGGGTGTCTGCAACCCAATTACCAAAAAAGTGTTTTTGTTTTTTTAGTCCAAATATCAAATGAAAAAGTCTTAAGAGCTCAAGGAGATGACATCTCTTTTTCAATGCAAATCTTCAGGTTGAAAAACCAAGTGTCACCATTATTAATCAACTTACAAATATAAATCAGTTTTCTCCGATATTAACAAAAACTTCCAAAAAGTAAAATAAACAGAAACATCTACATCGGGGTGAGCAAAGATTCGGTCCGATATGCAGTGGGTATGGGGCGGCCCGTTTCGCCTTCTAATTAATAAGGAGGGGGTACGAAAATGAATACAAAGAACACAAAAAAAGCACCCTGGTCTTCATGAGCGTTTGAGCCTCTGATATTAACATAAAAACTTCCAAAAAGTAAAATAAACAGAAACATCTACATCGGGGTGAGCAAAGATTCGGTCCGATATGCAGTGGGTATGGGGCGGCCCGTTTCGCCTTCTAATTAATAAGGAGGGGGTACGAAAATGAATACAAAGAACACAAAAAAAGCACCCTGGTCTTCATGAGCGTTTGAGCCTCTTGGAATGTCGCTGGACGCCCGAGTCCTCGTCACTGCTGGCCTCCTTGTCACCAGTCACACCTCGTACAGTCCGCCTCAATCCAGTTCTCCTGCTGTCCCTCTCATTGTCGCTGTCCTGCTCCCGATAATCTTTGCGATTTGTCCGCTTGCTCTTCCTTCTCACAAACTTGTCCTCCTCCTCATCTTCCTCACTTTCACTGTCAGCTTGGTTTCGTTGTCCACCGCGCGGTCTGGTCTGTCTGGCTCTCCCTTGCTTCCCATTTTGTATCTTCCTCCTGCCCTCCTCCTCCTCCTCTTCTTCCTCCTCCTCCTCCTCCTCCTCGTCGTCATCCTCTTCGGAGTGAGCGGCCTGGCGTTTGAGCGTTCTGCGTCGCAGGTAGCCGATCCCAGGGAGGCTCTTCTGCACTAGCTCGATAAATGCCTGCTCTGTGCGTGCCATGCAGGTCAGGACGTTGCTGTTGGGCTGGTTGTATTCTTCTGCGTTTGAGAAGATGAGCTTCACATCCTCAATGAAATCGCTGGCGCTCTGATACTGGGAGGATTTGAACTTATCTTGCATGGTGGTGAAGTCCATCGGGCAGCTGATGATGTCCCCATAATCCTCGGCCTCTTCAGCAGATACGGGTTCCCTGGATGAGAAGAAGAGAATATGTTATGTCTTGACTACTTTCAATAATCTCCTCAGTTAAACTGCTTCACTTATTTATATGCATCATTTAACTGTATTAATGATACACTAATCACCAAATAGTAATTAGGCTCGTCACTACATCAAACTATTATAAGTTGAAGAACACCCTGACAGGTTTCATAATTCTCCATATCACCAAATAACAAACTAACACCAATTCATGAATTAATAATGAAAAACACTGAAACACTAAGAATTAATAAAGTAAACACTTAAAATCTAAACATCTTTTTAAATTAAATGTTACGAGACTAATTGTGATATTTGTAAATTACAAGTGACAAAATCAATCATGAGGTCTTGTGAGAGTGTACCTGAAGGGCCAGCTGTGTCTGTATTTCATCAGCTTCTGAAGGATCTCCTCACATTTCTCCAGCTCAATAGCTTGTTTCTTTGATAGAGGCTTGGAGCTCTGTCGGACCTGCACATGATTAACAACACTTAAGAAACACTTGTATATGGTGCCTAATGGTGACAATACAAACTATTCCCTCTACACTATTTTTTTAATTTACATGTTGTTGTTGTTGTTTTTTTGCTTCAGCACACCGTGAAACGCTTGTTAATAAACGAACTGTTCTTTTTCTGAACAAACTGTTCTTTTTCAACAGGTGCTTTTTAATTATTCTGCTGAACCTATTTGCAAAGCATTTGCAAAATCAAGAATTTGAGCATCCAACATTTATCAAAATGTATACAACACTTCAATATTAAACTAAAATATTTACTGCAAATAGTCAAATGCTGTGTATGAGAAAGGCATTAAACACACCACACTTTCACATATCTTGTTTTACTCACCAGCTCATCGATGTCTGCAGGGTTGCTTGGTCCAGGTCGTGATTTAGGCGATTGTTTGGGAGCAGATTTAGGATCAATTTTGGATGCAGGTTTAGGGTCTGGGTTGGAAGCAGATTTGGGAGCAGGTCTAAGATCTGGTCTGGAAGCAGATCTGAGAGAAGGTTTTGGATTTGGTCTGGACGCAGGTCTGAGAGAAGGTTTTGGATCTGGCTTGGAAGCAGGTCTGAGAGCTGGTTTGGCACTAGAAGGCGAATGCTTCTTCTGTGGTGGTTTACTCTGCACTTTGGGCTTCAAAGACGACTTCACCTTCTTCCTAGGTCTCACTGTGACAACCAAACAAACAGTCAAACCTAGAGTTTGTGCCGAAACTTATAAGACAAAGTTTCAAGCCCTTAAGCATATCATGATGATACAGTACATTTGATAAACAAGGTAGTTGATCTCCCTTTTCTCCCAAAATATTCTTGCGTAGGAAAAAAACTAAACAAACAAATAATAATGATGATGATGATAATAATCCCCCCCACCCCTAATGAAAACAGTTTTCAAAGCTCTCAGAATGCCACTCACAGCTGTGGCCCGTGTCCCTGTATTCTTCTTCTGATTCTTCCTCTTCAGAGTCTTCTTCGTCTTCCTCCTCTGAATCCTCCTCTTCCTCAGTGTCCTCATTATAATTTCTGCAAACAGAAATGTGTAAATTAATTCTGAGGAACTTTGAGCATATAAAACTACGAACAAAAACTTAAAATTAAGCAAACCCTGAACGACTAGGCCTTATTTATAGCAGTAACGCTGGAAAAAACATATGAGCACCGAACAATGTCTAAATGGTGCTTAAAACATCCAAATGTTTTGTTTTCTTTTAGGCAAACTTGATGACATTGCATCTATATGTAATAATATTTAACAAGTTTATCTTCACAGAATTAGGTAATCTTATTGAGGTTAAACTTTAGCTTAGCTGTCCGCAATGAAGGGGGTATTAGCCTATTATGAGCACCAGTAGTATCTGCAAGCCTAACACTTTCATTGAGTAATCTTTAGGCATATGGCTAATTAGTCTCCATTGCATTTATACAATATACTGCGGCCAGACCTAAGAAGGGAGTCCCAAGATCCCACAACATTCCTGTACACACAATTCACACAAAGTAGTACATGGGCTGGGATTATGCTAATTGTAAATAAGCATGCACACCTCCGAATTACTGGAATTCATTAACATACACACAAATGACAAAAGTTTAATGAAAGAGGCCCAGTGTCTGCATGTTCTTACCTGCCCCTTGAGCTGCGTCGCGCGATGGTTGGCTGACAGGCTGGGCAGAGCCACTCACCTGCCGGTATACGGTATAGTGCCGGCCGCAGACAGAACAGATGGAAGGCTTTATTGCACTCATCACACAGAATCAACTTATCATCCTCTCCTACAGAGAAAGACAATCATAAACCAGATCAATTACATGTTAAATCTTCCTGTTACCACGCAGTACTTCCTCTTGCGTGCCGCTCATATTACAGCAACAGGTGCCGTTTAAATCTCAGACATTCTCTCTTTGATGGTCATTCAGTCCCTTGTGCATTTCACTTTAGATTTCATACTCTAAAGGTGTAAAGTAACTACTCTCTGCGGTCAGAGTCTGAAGATCTTTTGGTTCACATACAGTAGTGTTTCCCACGTTTTCAAGAGACTATGGTGGGTGGACCTTGAAATGAATTTTTGCACATTTTCAAATTGAATGCATCAATTGAGAGACTGGGAAGTGTATATTTTTGTTAAAAACCATGGAAGGCCACTGCAGTCTAGGTAATTAATGTGAAACACTGAATGTGACCATACAAAAGTCAGAACACACTTGAAATTTGACCATATATAGACCAATATCAACTGTGCCAACATGAGACTTCGAACTTTAAAAAAAATTTTTTTTAATTAATTTTAGGTTTATGATTAACTTGTTCAATGCTTTTTAAAAAGCATTGCAGGATGCAACTAATAAAGTGGGTTGAGTGAATGTCCAGAGTGCACAGGGTTGGAATCTAGACAAAGGGTGGCAACTCTGAAAATTAATAAATATAAATTTTTTGGTCACTATATAATTCTCATGTTGCAATGTGTCATTTCATAGTTTTGATGATTTTTATCAGGGCTCTACAGTGCATTTGTGACTGAAAACTACTGTGTGCGACTATGAAAAACTATTTAGGAGCACCAGTGCGACTGACTCGATCAGCATGTGTGTTTGTGCTCAGGGAAGCACTTTACTACTTTACAAAGTGTTTTTGCAGCGTTGAGTAATGCATCACAGACATATCTCTTGATTCCTTTCACGCAATGTTAATCAGAATCCACACTGGAGTTGTGTTCATGCTGAGTTATACAAGCTTACGAATCCTCTCATTATAACAAACTAGGGATGTAACGATTAACCACGAGCCGGTTGAAAATCGATTCAAATATGTGACGATTCAAATCGGTTGAGATGCTAAACAAATCGTGATTCAATTAGGAGTTTATATGAATGTATGTCTGAGGGGAACTTACTGTCTTCAGAAAAGTATGGTATTTTTTCTTTTCGTCTTGCCTCTGTATAATACTTATTAAAGGGGTCATATGATGCGATTTCAAGTTTTCCTTTCTCTTTGGAGTGTTACAAGCTGATTGTGCATAGATAAGATCCCTGAAGTTGCAAAGACTAAAGTCTCAAAACCAGAGATCTTCTTTATAAAAGTTAAGACTCTGCAACGCCCCCCTAAAACGGCTCGTTCTAACACGCCCCCACATATCTACCTCACTATGTGGAAATATTTGCATAATGCGCCCAAATGTTCACGCAAAGAAAGAAGGCGTGGTTTCAGTAACCGCAGTTAGTGTTGAAGCAGCTAAGGGGCGTTACAGTTCCGACGAGTGCTTGCAGTGTTCGGCCAATCACAATGCACTGGGTCAGCTGGCCAATCAGAGCAGACTGTGCTTGTCTGAAGGAGGGACTTTGTAGAAAACGAAGCATTTGAGAGAGGCTGGGCACAGAGGACCTACAATAATGTACAGTTTTTGAAAAATAATGTGTTTTTTGAACATTAAAGCATGTCAACATATTCTGTTACACCAAATACACAAAATAATGATCTTTAAAAAAAGCATCATATGACCCCTTTAAAGTTCATAAGTGCAGCACTGCTTTGTTTACAGCGGAAACCAAGGAAATGCTTTAAGCGCCACCTGCTGGCAGAGAGTGAATCTGCGTCTCATTCAGCTCAGCTTTCATGCAGATATTTTTTATGTATAGTTTCACAAAACTGAAGTCAAATTCTGTTTTTGCTTCAGATTTCGAAATTATACAACCTAATTTAGATTAAAAAGTGTTCATGTTGCATGTATGCAGCATCTTTTGTTTGGACCATGATTAAAATGCAGTGGTTGTCTCATTTTAAATGGAAAGAGCACAGACAAAGCCTTATTTTGTTTATATGAAGCGATTTTTTTTATTTGTGTTACTCATTTGATTTGGGGCTTGTTTTAAAATTTCAATTTAGTTTTGTTATTTACATTTACATTAGCCTATATTTAAATTTTGTTATTTAGCAGACGCTTTTATCCAAAGCGACTTACAAATGAGGACAATAAAAGCAATCAAAACCAACAAAAGGAGCAATAATACGCAAGTGCCATATTAGTATATTATTATAGTGTTATATTTCAATTTCACAAAGAAACGTGCAACATTTTGTCCAAGCAATAATAAAAGGACACATTTATAATTTGTCTTAAATCTCATTTTGTTAAAAAAAAAAAAAACGTGAATCAAATCGAATCGTGAAATCTAAATCGTGAATTGAATCGTGAGTTGAGTGAATCGTTACATCCCTATAACAAACAAAGTGTAAATAAGAGATACATCGTTGATTATAATGGAACTTTGTGAGATTGTGATGAACTCAGGTGAGTGACAGCTTTTAATGATTATTAAGGGAGTTTGCAAATGTGATATTGATTTTATACAACAGTTATAGAAGTTAATATTAAGTGACTTATATTGTCTGACTACAACACGTTTGCCTGATTTCGCTCTATTTCATCAACGAAAATTGTTTCAAACAATCACAGCTGAGCCGCTGCGCATCTCTTTGTCCAAGCAATAATAAAAGGACACATTTATAATTTGTCTTAAATCTCATTTTGTTTAAAAAAAAAAAAAACGTGAATCAAATCGAATCGTGAAATCTAAATCGTGAATTGAATCGTGAGTTGAGGGAATCGTTACATCCCTATAACAAACAAAGTGTAAATAAGAGATACATTGTGCAGTGTAGAAACTTCGTTGATTATAATGGAACTTTGTGAGATTGTGATGAACTCAGGTGAGTGACAGCTTTTAATGATTATTAAGGGAGTTTGCAAATGTGATATTGATTTTATACAACAGTTATAGAAGTTAATATTAAGTGACTTATATTGTCTGACTACAACACGTTTGCCTGATTTCGCTCTATTTCATCAACGAAAATTGTTTCAAACAATCACAGCTGAGCCGCTGCGCATCTCCAACCAAACACAGCTGGGTTTCATTTATGAATGAACGTGCATTTTTAAACTAATCTAGTGAGTCAATGATTCAATTGCCCATTCATAAAGACAGTCATTTGCTTTGCCCGTGAATCAGCCGTTCGAATGAATCAATTGAATGAATGATTCACTGATAAAATCAGTGACCTGCCGCCACCTACTGGCAGTTTTAATTTAATTTTTAAAGTACCATTTAATATTTATATTATTAAATAGAAATAATATTTCTATTATTAAAGTAAATCATTTAATATTTCTATTGAAAATGTATATTTAAAACATTCATCGCAACATGAATTTAATTACACTCATGCCACCTCATTAAACGTCTGTGAATATACCTACATGCCACTTTCGTGTTCTTCTTTGCCACCTCTGTAGTGCAAATTCATTTTGTTAATACGGATTTAATTTGATCTTTAAAATTATTCTTATTCTATTTTGATTTGAAATTTTGAAAAAGCTTATACATTTTTGAATTTGACAAAAGATGACACTTTCAATAAAATTAGAAAAAAAATGCCATTACAAAAGGTAAAAAATTATCACCTCATAATATTGATCAGAAGGTGCTCCCGATTTTTTTTGACTGTGCTCCTAAATTTTTTTAATTAGGAGCACTTGTAAAGGAAAGTAAGCATAGAGCCCTATTTATGATGTCCAAACTTTTGCCACTGTATAAAATGTTTAACACTCTAAAACGCACACATCAAATAATAATTCACAGCATTTGAGGTTGTTCTTCAGGTGTCTCACCTTTCTTGCGGCACACTTTACAGCGAGCGTTCTCTGCAGACATATCCCACTTGATGCAGGCATCCAGCATGCCGAGCAGAACATGCATGCGAGAGAAAGTCTGAGCTTCACGAACGGCAGTTTTCCACTTCTCCACCGCTGTTGCTACCTAGAAAGTCAAAATGCACAAGAAGTTTAGTCTAGTGTGAATGTGAACACACATACACTACCGTTCAAAAGTCTGGGCTCTTTACTTCTAGAATTGTTTATTCTTCTTTTGAATACATGTTCTATATAGAACTTGTGATATTTGGAAACATATTGGCATGTTGCTAAAAATAATATTTTGTGTATTTGGTGTCATGAAATGTGTTTATGCGGTTTAAAGGGTTAGTTCATCCAAAAATGAAAATTAGCTTGTGTTTTACTTACCCTCGAAGCATCCTAGGTGTATATGACTTTCTTCTTTCAGACGAATCCAGTCGGAGTTATATAAAAAAATTGTCCTGGCTATTCCAAGCTCTATCATTGCAGTCAGCGGGTGTTGCAGTTGAACAGTCCACAAGTCGTCAAATAAAGGCCCCCTGTAGCGAATCCATGTGTTTTTTTTTAAAGAAAAACATCCATATTTCAAACGTAATAAACACTTTTCTCTCACTTCCACTGACTGTCATACACTGAAGCAGTTCCGGCAGAACAAAAACTCATGGATTCGCTACAGGAGGCCTTTATTCATCCCCCGGAGCTGTACGCGGCACGTTTTATTATGGATGTGCGCGCTTTATTTGACGACTTGTGGACTGTTCAACTGCAACACCCGCTGACTGCAATGATAGAGCTTGGAATAGCCAGGACAATTTTTAATATAACTCTGGATTCGTCTGAAAGAAGAAAGTCATATACACCTAGGATGCCTCGGGGGTGTAAAACACAAGCTAATTTTCATTTTTGGGTGAACTAACCCTTTAAGGTAAAAAAAAAACAAAACAAAAAACATTATTTTCCACATTCTGTACATTATTGTTTCTCCTTTCTATGCCCCGCTTATCGATCTGAAAAGCGAGGTGTGCTCTGATTGGCCAGCTATCCAGCGGATTGTGATTGGCCGAATACCTCAAGCGTGTGACGGAAATGTTACGCCCCTACCATACTGTGATGCCTTGTCCGGCCGGAGGGACGAGACAAAAACATTAAAACCCATTATAAACGAGGCATTTGTTGCATCCAGTGGGGACTCCATTACGGATTATAATGACTTATACTGTCTTTTTACACGTTGCATCGCGCTGCGTAAACAAAACCATTTCTGCATTTGTGATCGGTGAAATGACAAACAACAAGGGCTACTCTACACCGCTCAAAACTCGCGTTTGAATCATCAGTGGCAAATTCTTTAATATAAAAAAAAACATACTTACAGTCTGTGTGTCAGAACAGCCGGCATTGTAGTCTACTCTACCAGGATCAAGAAACAAATATCTGAATATTTGGGTAGAACTGTTCTGGAACAGTGTTGTAAATACAACTTAACCACTGATTTCTAGTCGGTTCCGCTTTTGGAATGCCAAACAAAGTAATTTCGCTTTCACAACATAACACACAGCGTCTTCATGACATGGCGGCAGCAACAATACTACAGCGAGAATAAAAGTTACGCCTTCTTTCTTTGCGTGAACATTTGGGCGGCGTTATGCAAATCTTCCCACATCGTGACGTAGACATGTGGGGACGTGTTAGAACGAGACGTTTTAGGTAGGCGTGGTTGACTCTTTTATAAAGAATATCTCTTTGGATTTGAGACTTTAGTCTTTGCAACTTTAAAGATCTTCTTTATGCACCAAGAGCTTGTAACACTCCAAAGAGAAACGAAAAATTTAAATCGCATCATATGACCCCTTTTAAATAAATGCTGTTCTTTTGAATTTTCTATTCAAAGAATCCCGAAAAAAAATATATCGCAGTTTCCACAAAAACACAGCATAACTGTTTTTGATAAGAATGGTTTCTTTTTGATAAATTAAATGCAGCCTTGGTGTCTGTTTTCTCATCTTCTCATGCTTTTGCTAGTACTAATGCAGACAAATTAGTTTCTTTTCCCTTTATTTCTGCTTGTTCATTCAGTGCCTACAATGTTCACTTCATTAGGACATGAATACATACCATTGTTTTAATTAGTTATTATTTACAGTCATATTTCACTTTTAAATAAAGCAGTTTGGCCTATATTATATACTTTTGGCTATGGTATTGAGAATCATGAAATTAGCTACTGCAGTGTTAGTAACTTGAAACCCCATTGATCACACACACTCACCCTGGCCTCTTCAGCCAGTCTCTTCTGATCATCCACTTCCTCTGCCGTCGTGCTCTCCTCTCCCCCGGTCTTCTTTTTCTTCTTCTGTTTGGGTGCCATGAAGCCCTGCAGAAACTTCTTGATCACGCTCTCTTGTAGTGTGATCACACACTCCCCAAAGTCCTGCAGCTTCTCCAAGTCATGCACCTGAAAACACAAGTGAAAAGTCAGGTAGGTTCAAAGTGGTGGAGATATCCATGCAGCAGGGCTGGCCAGTAACATATACAATTACCATACCATGATAAAATTATATTGGTTATAGTGCCCACCACATGTAGTCTTAATGTCTCTCACCCTCTCCTCAAATTCAGATGTGTCCTCCATGTTTCCAAGGCCTCCTTTCTGGAGACGGGAGGCTACTTCGTTAATGTCACTGCGCAAGTATTTAAGCAGCTCCTGGTATCCGTCACAGGTCTTCAGGCCTGGGTTACCTTTTTTCGTCAGATGGATGGAATGCAAGATTTCCTGGTAACTAAAACAAAGACAACATCTTAAATATTAATCCATTTATACTGGGATTGAGAGCAAGTAAGGTGTGAAAATATCTGTTTTCATGAGGAAGGAGATGTGCGTGTACTCACTTAACCTGAAGCCTGAGTTTGAGTTCACTCTCTCTTACTCCCTGAGGGTGAAGACTTTCTATTAGTTCATCGAGGTCTTTTTGTGAGTCACACACAAACCTGGGAAAACAATTTAAGAACAAGCATTTGTGTTGCTGCCCAATACTGATGTCAGCATTTATTGAAATTTATTGCATTTATTGCGCAGCATGAACCTGCTTTCACAACCCATTTTACTGCAATTTTTTTTTAAAAGGGGGGAAAACACATCTAACACATCTCTAGCCATTTCACATCTAACATGCCGCTTTCAGGCTGTCTTCATTGCCTCTGTACCCTACATTCCTCTAGTGCTGCTGGTTTTATTTCTTACACCTCTTAAGTTTTAATTTTTCCCCATTACTCTTTGCAGGTTTCTGGAATACCACTCCATCCTCACCTAGGGGTGGGAACTTCAGAATAGGAAAATAAGGGACAGTTGTGGTCTTTCATCTAAAAATAAGGGATATATATATATATATATATATACACATATACACACACACACACACACACACACACACACATAAATACACGCACACACACACACACACACACACACACACACACATACACATACACGTGTGTGTGTGTGGTATATATGAAAATGCATATTTTTTAATTAAAGACAACTTGTAGATTTAATATGGGCTGCTTTTGGTGCTTTTACTGGTCATTTTGTGTTTCAAGAATAAGTTACAAGGTTAAGAATATGCTAGAAGTTACTTAAATGTAAAATGTTTCTCTCTATTTAACAACATTACAATAGTGAAAGACGACTTCCCTTATTGATCGGAATTTGCATTAGCATGAGTCACCAGCCGGCAGAGGATTCCGCAGCCTTCCTCAAACATATACTGATCAGGCGCCTGTTATTTAGGCTGTGATTGGATCATGACAGGTGCCTGTGATCATTCTCAAGTGTCGTGATCAGCACTGCTGCTGTTGTATCAGTCAGCGGTTAGATCTGCGTAGCAGTCAATAAACGGAATAAGGGAGGTCACGTATGGGACAAATCAATTAGGCCCAATATACGGGAAGTCCCGGCTAATACGGGTAGGATTGGGTATCGTTAGAAATTTTCCGGTTCCGATTCGTAATTTAGTGGTGGCAGGACCTGCGCGCTGCCGGTACGTGTAGTGAGACAAAACAACGTGCAGTTATCAAAGACGCGAGTGTGCGTACACTCGTGGAAAACGATGTGTTCGGCAGTTAAAGATTCAGCGCGTCTGTGAAGTGCGCGTCATGGGAAGCAATGTGCTCAGTAATTAAAGAGGCAGTGCAGCGTTTCTGTTGTTTAGTTTGTGACATCCTTTACGGGAAACGCCGGCACAAGGCTGCTCACAGCGCTTGGTCACATGTCGCACCAGCACCGAAAGGTAGAAATAGCTCACGGTTCCGGTTCTTTTCAAAAAACAGAAATAGCCCTCGGTTCTCAACCCTAAATACGAGACAGTCTGCAACCTCACCTTCAACCAGTTGTTCCTTTGAACCTACTTCCTGGCATTCTGATTTTACTTTCACACGTCTCTCACCTTTGTTTTGCCGTTCCTGCTCTTCTTTTTCTTTCTTGGCCTGAATGGACATCAGGCGTCTGCTTTTCACTGTGCTGATCATGTCCTCCGGCTCTGGTTCCACTTTGGCTGGGACCTTAGGCGTCTCTTTTTTCACATTTGAATCTTTCCTCTTCTCTGCACTCATTAGTACATCTCCGCTAGAATCGGTTTTTGCCTCCATCTGCTCTTTGCGTTTCTGCTTCTCTGCCTTTTTACGTTCATTGACTTCTTTAAGCGTCGCAAGCCGCTCCCTCCACAGCTCGGCCGATCGCTGCTGAGTGGCCTCCACGTGATCCTCCACCGAATAGGTCATGAGGATACGATGACACAGCGCCACCAGCAGGCTGACCTTCTCCTGAGAGGTCAGTTCAAACACCTCCGACGTCTCAAGCTTTTCCAAGAACTCACTGCTCACCATGTCATCGTAGCCCGCACCAGGCTGCCAGTGATCCGAGCCACGGGCGCTCTCTTCCTCATGGGCATCCGTTGGCCGCAAACACAAGCGCACCAGCTCGGATACAGAGTGCATGGTAAGAGGAATCTCGGATAACGGCATGTCCAGTTCACTGTAACCTTCCGCCAGCTCGTCTTGCAGAAGTGTTTGCAGCAGCACCACCAGCACACGGTTCAAGTACAGGAAACCCGCCTTCTCTCCAGCTAAAGCCTCCATCAGAGCGATGGAGGTGATAGGATACTGGTCATCAGGCATCAGGAGGCCAGAGTAGCAGTGAAGGAACTCAACTACCATGGCTATGTCACCAAAGAGGGTGTTGGGAAGACCCTCTGGCATGTCAAACAAACGGAACGTCGGCAAGCTCTTGCCTTCGAGCTCCTGGTCTTCGTAACGGCGTGACATCTCCCGCCTCATCTGCATTTCTTTCTCTCTCCGCTCTTTGGCTTTCTCACGCAGTTTCTTCTTGACTTCCTGGCGCTTTTGCCGCAGAACATCCTGTTTCTCCTCCTCGGTCATAAGGGCCCATCGGCGTTTCTGCTCAAGTAGTTCCCAGCGTTTTTGAACTAGCTCTTTCAGCTCCTCAGGAAGCCTGCCACGATCTTCTGCGGACAGTGTTTTTGCTGCCTTAGACACCAGTGAGGACAGAGTGGTCTTCTTATCTTCTTTGCCTTTATTCTCCTTGTAAAACCGAAGGAGATGTAAGGCCATGGGCGGCAACGGTTTGCCCAGCTTAGCAGAGCCAGTACTTGAACTTCGGCTTCGCTTTTTTGGGCTAGCTGCTGCAGGTGGGCTTTTGGCAAGATCCAAAAGGGTCATCTGCTTCATTTTGGGTTTCTTGGAGCTTCCAGCACTTTTGTCCTCCTTTTTGGAGAGCTTCTGGCCATTGGGAGTCTTGGTGACCCCACTCTTGCGGCTCTTTTTGGGGTCAGTGGATTTTTTGTCTCCCTGCTTTTTATTTGATTTTGGAGTGCTGAGGATGTTTTCCCCATCACATTTCTTAGATGTACCCGAGTTTTTCATTTTTAAAGGAGATCCATTAACTTTCTTCACCTGAAGAAAAGAAAATACAGAAGAATAAATAAATCCAACAAATATTTAATGAATAATAATAAAAAAAAACATTAATAACTCCCAAAATTACCATTAAAGAATGTAAGATTTTCTTCATCCAATTACAAGTCACCTCACAGACAAAAATGACAAAAAAGTTTCAAATTCCAAATATTATTTCTACTGCAAAAGTTAGTTTATCCTTTATTGTCTCCCTTAGGAGAAATTTGTTTTGAGCAATCAAGAGAGCAGGTCAACAGGTCAAAAGTATATGTATCCGTACTAAAGTGAGTTTAATTAACACCAATTAATTGATCATTAATTAACATCCCTACCACCTGGACAGCATTTTAAGACATCATAGTCATGCATTCTGCCATGAATTCTGTTCCAAACAGTAAACAGCAACATTATGATACCCTGTTTAGGTTATTTAATTATTTATGCTTTAACGCCACATCAGCGACAATGGCTATATTCATGGCAACATTAACAATATCATTTTAACATACATCATTTACAATAATATAACATTTTCTTAAGAAACAATCATTATACAAAAGCATACAAGAAACAACATTAGTACTGATAAAAATCATATACAATCTTTCAGTTTAATCAGTGATAAAATTCTAAAGAGGAGAGACTTTTTAAAAATTTGATTTTCCCCGTCTAGGTTAATACTATTGAATCGTTTTTCAATCTAATTGTGTACCATATATTTTTACGCTTATCAGAGTATCCCATTGGTAGCTTAGCAATCCATGAACACCCAACTCAATTAAAAACTATTTTTAGTAGACTAATAGAATCTAGAGTGATTCATGTGAAGAGTGCTTTTATGCTTTGGTTAGTATTATACATACCTGCATATGACCCCAGAGGGTTGGGCTGAGAGGAATGTTCTGGGAATCTTTTTTCTTTTTCTTCTTTTCCCCTTTTACGTTTACTCCCTCATTGTCTTTTCCCGTCTCCGCAGTCTTCAGCTTCTTATTGGGTTTACCTTCCGGTGAGCTCATGCTTTTCCTCTTAGCTGAAGGATGTTCTGCCAAAAACTAAACAGAGGAAAATCTAATATAACAAGTCAATTTTCTACAAAAACACTTTTTTCTAAAGCATCACACATTTATGTATCCCACCTTGTGAGGGTCCAGTAAAAAGTCGCTGAATTTGCTTGGCAGGTTGTATTTTTTCACCAACTCATCCTCCACCACCCAGGGGGCGCTCTCTCCTGAGCCCAACCTCAAAGCATAGTGTCTGATGAAGTAGCGCATTATTTCTTTGTTGGGAGGCCGCTCAGTTCTGAACAGGCTGTCTGCAGGGACGTCACTTATCACTTTGTCCTCATTGAGAAGTTTGACATCATACTTGTGGGGCAGAAATTTGGGCATGACCCATTTCTTCTTCTCTTCTTTCATACTGGTTGGGAGTTTTCTGGGTGAGCGGCGGGCCCTATCAGCTACAGACAAAAAAAAGATATTGTTATTAAATTCTTAATTCACCAAAAAACTCATCTTTATATGCAATCCTGGTTCAATGTATTTATCGATATTCAAAGTGACAAAAATAGTAGCATAAAAGATTACAAAAATTGATCATTTGAATATGAACCAAAAAATATTATTATAATACATTGAAGGATATCATGAAGAGGATGACCATGAAGAGCAACTGAGACTCACAGAGACTCTCTCTCCTGCTGTCTTCCTCTTTGGACTGTGGCTCCTTCTTCAGGTTCTCCTGACTAGCATTCTCTTTATCACTGGATGGAGAATCACAAGCTCCTTCCATCTTTTTCTCCACATTTTCTTCTGGAGGATTCTCCAGAGGATGAATCTTCACCACTTTCACGTGCAATGTCTTATCCTTGCCAACCTTACAGAGAGAGAGAGAGAGAGACAGAATTACTATTTCCAACCCTCTACATTGCGAGTAAATCACTTGCATACGCGAATAAATCTTCACTCGGGGCGACTAAATGATGTCTAATATTAGCCAATGGCTAATAAATTCTCAGATTTTACTCTCCAGTGTGTGAGTTGGAGGCTAAGTATAAGTTTAGCACAGATATATTTTCACTCGCCGAACACTCTCTGACTGAGCGCTTCAGAGTTTCACTCAGTCAACTGATCTGTGACATTTTTCAGTTCATCTGAATGGATGCGGAGCGCACCTGTATTTAACGTACCGTAAACTCTAGTGTGAAAGCCCACGACTCGCCGTCGCTTTGTCTCACACACACACGCAGAGAGAGAGAGAATTGACGCGCTACATGTAAACGATATTCTTTGTTGCATTTTCCTGTCAAAATAACAGTGTTCCTTGGGAATTCTTCAGCTTTTAAGAACTGCCGCTTTCTCCGGTAGTGGGCGGAACTAATGCGCAAACGGCAATCTCATTGGCTGGCGCTCACCTATAATCGTCCAGGTTTTGATTTCAGCAAATCTGTTCGAGCGAACGCACACAATCTGATTAAGATTCATGAATCCAGCAGCTCTTAGTGCGGTTTATATTGTTCTTATTAGTAGAATTCGTATCATTATCTTATCAGTATTTTTGTTAGTTTTTTTTCCCAATTTTCTTTTACAGAAACACTGAATGACCAAAAAACACTAGCACCAGTCCTAAGTTCAGTTAAAATGACTAATATGCATTCATACATGGTTATCAAGTTTTAATTCTAATGACTAAAGTTCTATCATTAAATAGTACTTTATTATCATAATATAATGCTTGACTGACTGATGTTACGAGTGCATTTTCAGATATTTAAAAAAACTGCCATTTTACAAACATATATATATATATATATATATATATCTATCTATCTATCAGTCTGGCGAGTAAACTAAAAAAAATTGACTAGCCAATGGTGATTCAATTGCCAAGGTGTCCGTAGAGGGTTGATTTCACATCCATAAAGAGAGAACAGAAGAATTGGAGAAAGATGGGAACTAAACTTGCTTTTTCCATGAGTTACACAAATATTACTTTTACCATTGTAGGTTTGATCTAAGCAAATACTTTGAACTGAGCATAAGTAGACAGAAGAAGAAAAATTATACTGTTATAGAATAACTTTTGAAATTCCTTGACATTTGCAGGTTTTCCAGGACAATGTTACCCCACTTTTTCGGAATTTTCCATTTATTAGTCTAAATATTAAATCCAAGTTCATACCAAGAAGTCGCACTCCTCATCCACAGCATACTTGGTGAGAATCTCCAGCCAGACCAGATCCACTAGCTTATCGAGAGATACTGTGTTATGGTGCACAATCTCCAGAACAGGCTTCTCAAACCACACTGGATACTCCTCCTGAAGCCTGCCAAAAATCAAACAATCAATGGCTACATAAGTTTAAAACAAACTTAGTGACTTTTGAACTGATAATACACTACCACAATTGATGAAAGAAATTCTCCTGTCCATAATGATATAATAAAGAGCCTGTATTGTATGTGACAGCCCCTCAAATGTACGATTTTCAACAAGTTATTGAACCAGTGCAGAGCTAGACTCTAAAGGCCCCGATATACTCAAAACAAAGTTCCTTTTCGTTCTGTTTATCGGTAAAACGAAGTTTGAAATACGTGAGCAGTGTATACTGTTATCGAACATCCCAACACCACCCACTCTGTTGAAAGCAACGTTTATATGAATATGTAAATATGTGCTGCGCACTTTCCTCTCAGTAACAAAATAAACAACAAAAATGGAGAAAACAGCAAGAATATTTTTTATAATAATCTGATCAAAGCAACATGGGTATGTTTGTGAAAGCTCTGTAAATTAGCACTCCCGTGAAGTCACGTCACGTGTATTTACAAGGCACTTTATTCAATATACTGCTCAAAAGCAATCAGCAATATTAAACATGAAAAACAGTGTCAGTGTCTCACTTCATCAGAAGCACAACTTAATTTGCTACTATAAAGCGGCTCTCCACTGTGTTCATGTTTTTACCCGCAGACATCTCACCTCCAAGGACTCCACAGACGAAATGAACCCAAAGAGTTCTGCGTGAAAGAAGGCGGAGCCTCAACGCACACCTCCTATGACGTAATCGTCACGGACCAATGGTAGTACGAAGGTGTTTTGCAGCTGGAACGAACTTTTCAGAAAAATTCGCTTTGGCAAGCCTTTTCGAACTCCCAAAACAAACAAAACGAACTTCGTTTTGGCTGGATTTTGTTTGAAATTATGTCACATCAGTTAGTTCTTCGATTTTGCTTTAAGTACATCGGGGCCTAAAGGATTGGCTGATAGTCAACGTGAAAGATGCTCAAGAAAAGAATTATCACTGGCCCAATTTCTTACCTGAATATTACCATTAGACCTTCCTGAAAACTTAAAGCATTATTGCAACATTGTATTCTTTAGTACTATTGCTTGTAATTTGTTTTTATTTTATTACTGACTGTTTACTTGTCTTTAATAATGTTTGAACTTTATATTATGGCGCTTTCCACTGGGTACAGTACCTGCTAACTGGTACTTTTTTTTAGTACCACCTCGGTTGAGGTTCCAAGTGAACCGTACCATTACCAAAACGTGACGTGTAAACTCTACTGATCACGGATTGGCTGGAAAGAATCGTTACTACCTGCGACACAAACACAACAGAACTGCTAGATTTAAATCAGCACAGCCAGCGAAGGATCGAACGCAACCGTTTTGAACAAGCGCACCTTTTTTAACAACCAAAAAGTGGCTGTTTTGTTGTCTGTTGAGGAAGTACAGACGTTCCTCTCGTTGATAGCAGAGGAGCGGCTCCAGCGAGAGCTTGACGTGTGATGCGGAATGAAAACGTTTTTTCAGGAGTCGCGGCACAACTAAAACGACATGTGAATAATCCCGCCCACTCTAAAGCGGTACTGAACTGCAGTGGAAACGCAAACCGAGCCGTGTCGTACTGAGCCGAGTCGTACCACGCAGTGGAAAAACGCCATTAGTTAGACTAGTAGTTTTTGCTTGGAATCAAGAAATGTGACGTTTCACTGGTACCTAAAATATTTATGTTGTGACAGTCTTATCAGCCATATAAGAAAACTTTAATGTAAAGAGTTGACATGTAAGAGCATAGTGCTATAGAGATGACTTCAAAATTAAAAGATACGGACAAAGTCACAAAAACCCAAAGTTATTTTAATTAAGAAAAAACTAAATACACAAAACATATTGCAAAATGCTTCATTGGCATTTGAAGGTCTTCCTTCATTGGCATTTGATAATGTCACCATTAGTTAGACTAGTAGTTTTTGCTTGGAATCAAGAAATGTGACGTTTCACTGGTACCTAAAATATTTATGTTGTGACAGTCTTATCAGCCATATAAGAAAACTTTAATGTAAAGAGTTGACATGTGAGAGCATAGTGCTATAGAGATGACTTCAAAATTAAAAGATACGGACAAAGTCACAAAAACCCAAAGTTATTTTAATTAAGAAAAAACTAAATACACAAAACATATTGCAAAATGCTTCATTGGCATTTGAAGGTCTTCCTTCATTGGCATTTGATAATGTCTCGTTTCTATATGGCCTTCGTTTATTTGGGGAGGATTCATGTTAAAATAACCAGTGGAGCTCATATGAAAACACAACAACTTCATACACTTTATGACCAGCAGAGGGAGATGAGAAACACAGGAATGAAGAATGAACTGTAAAAATAGCTTCAAAAACACACTGACCCTTACAGCAGCATACCGCTCTATATGGTCTGTACAGCAAACTGTTCTCTGAGTGTACAAGCGTCTGGTTACATAAGCAGCTTATAAGACTAAACTGTTTTCTCTCCGTCACTCACACCCACACAGAAAGCTGTCCGCATATCAGTTGAGAAGGTCACAGATTTTCACTTGAAGTTATTGTTTTACGAAGTAGGAAAGAAGAGTAGTTATCTACCCTGACTGCTGAAGGCTCAATCAATTATACACTCACTTATTAGATTGGATGGAGAATTGAAGGCAAAAATGCACCAATGAGAGAGCAGAGATTTGGTCATATGACATTCCCTAAACACAACAGCCTGACAATAGTTTAGTTTACAAGCTCTCTGCTATACACAGCAGACACGCTGGAAAATAAAGGGTTCCCACACCCAGTGAATTTCTGTGCCTTTAAATTGTTACTGATTACTCATTTTATTAAAATTGCAAGAACAAATTTTAAACCAAAAATATTTTAGGGCTGGGCACAGCTATTAAATAAAATACTGGAAGAAAAATAGGACGAAATCCTGAAAAATTTGTGATGCCGCTGACGATATAAAATGTGTTGAGACAGACATGACAAATGATTCTCCGATTCAAATGTCAGTAGCAAAAACAGTGTTGGTACAAGTTGTTCAGACACATTTCTGTGAATCAGTTCAAACTGTCTGTCGCACTGAATCAATTCTTCTATGAAGATTGGTAAAATATTTCCATGACTTTTCCAATTGTAAAATTCTGATATTTCCAGGTGTTCAAAGACCACAAACCAGCATTATTTTAGTATCACAGCTTTTATTCATATTCTGAACAAGTTTTTATTTTTATATTTTCTGTTTTAAATTTTAATCTTAGCTAAATTGGACTAATTACGTAGTGTGCTTTTGACTTTTTTATTTATTTTTAACTTAAATGTCTATTAGTTTCTTTTAGTAAACTATAAAAAAAATGTCTTTTAGCAAACTATAAATCCCTGCCATAAACACTGACAATAAAAGGCCTAGTTTCTTTTAATATATGACTAAAGCTATAGCTTAAACCCAGCAAGCTGATTACCTAACTCAGCATTTCTGTGCTTTAGACACCCCAAAATGCTAGGTTAGGCACTGACAGCTTACTACATATTGAGAACTACTACATATTCAGAATAAGACTTTGAGAGCAACTGTTGATGCTCCAAGTTCATTCATTCACTCACGCATCCACTCGTTGTTGTTACTTACAGCTCTGCGACCTCCTGTTCTTCGTCCCAAGCCTCCTTGTGTGTAAGCTGGCTGCTGCCAGTGCTTTTGCATGTCCATATCCGCTCTGCATACCTGCGCAGTCGAGCTTCATACTCTCTGAACAATAGTGTTAAGGACAACAACAACAAAAAAACGCACTCAAACACTACATGGCTTCTAGCACTTCTAAAACTTCTAAAATCTCAAGCAGTACTTCCAAAGCAGAGCTGATCAAGTGATGTTAGCTCTGCTGTCCATAGTCTGAGAGAGCCTCATTCATAATTAATGCATGCGTGTAGCACAGCAGCTCAATAATTAAAGGGCCAACAGCAGCAGATCCCGCATGAATTAATTAATGAAACAACTAAACTTGCAATTAAGAACAGTAATGGTAACCAAAAATACAACAGCCTCAGTAAAATTGTAATTACAAGCACTCTGAAAGATTGAAATCATTTCAGAGCCAAGATAAATACTTGTATTTAAGTTAATTTTGCACTGTTCACGTGTTACATAAATGTGTATCAAACCATAATATTAGTGGTCACCCGTTAAGGGCTTTAAATGCAGGATGTCAGTATATCTAGAAACTTGGGTGTTTAACGACAGCAAACAAATTTAGACAAAATTACTCAAACTTTTTTTTTTTTACTATGACATGGATGTCAGTAGATTTTATAACTGATACAAGGATGATGCTTATCAGAAGGGATAACACTTCTGTTAATCAGACAAGCAAAATTTAGTGGCAGATAAATATCGGATTAATCAATATATCACCCGATGTATTATTCTATCATTATGTATAAAGCACTATGACATGACACCTCTTAAGATGCTAAACTTTGACTCAAAACTTGAGCCAAGCTTGATTCAAACACCAATTCGGCAGATCTAGAACAAACTTAAACCTAGAACACACGCTAAATGATGGAAAATCGTCTAGTTTTAAGTGCTGAGATGGACCTACTGAAAGCATACGTAAAGTTTAAGCACGTGATTCAATCTTGACGAACGAGTCAGACAGACAGTTTTCATATACATAAGCTTCACCTTCAAACTCAATCGTTTTGCTATCTGAATAAAACCTTCATTCTTTCAGCAACACGCCTTCACTCCACAGACCAGGCGGCCAACAAGATGGCATAATCAGTGTTGGGGGTAACGCATTACAAGTTACGTAATCAGATTACTTTTGTCAAGTAACTAGTAAAGTAATGCATTACTTTTTAATTTACAAGAGAATATCGGAGTTACTTTTTCAAATAAGTAACACAAGTTACTTTTTTTTCCAATTTATTGATTGACAGCTCTCCTGTCCCCATGTTGAGAGAAATCAGAAGATGTTACTGTAGTTCTAAAATAAATATGAATATGCATTAATTCATCACGCTCACAAAATAAAAAAACAGATTCAGTATTCCTCAAAATGAATTAAAAAAAGGCTCAGAATATGACGCAAACCTGCAACAATTAAATGTTAAACAACACAAATATCCTTTATGCATTTAATCCCATTCTATTAACCAATGTCTTTGCTTCTGTCCTTCGATGATCCAGTTCAACCGTACTAATAAGCAAAAATTACTCTAGACAAACACTTGTGTGTCTTTTTTTATTTACTGCTGAAGTGTGTTGAAATCTCTTCTTCTGCGTTCTACTGTACGGATGTGAATTTACTTTCCCTTCAGCCTGAGGCTTATTCGTTTCACTTTTGGTTTGAAAAGGCTTTTATATTTGCCAAAAATATAACTTTTTTATTTTTATTTGAAAAACAAACAAGCAAGCCCCGTCCAAAAGTAACGCAAAAGTAACGTAACGCATTACTTTCCATAAAAGGTAACGCGATTAGTTACTTTATGGAGTAACGCAATATTGTAATGCATTACTTTTAAAAGTAACTTCAAGTAACTGGTCATAATCCCCGAGAGCGCAGTGATTGATAAGCAGTAAACGTTTCTGATTGGCTAGCTTTCTGATTCCGTAACAAGCACGCGGGTCACTTTCCTTTTAGCTTCTCTAGAAACCTAGTGCAGTGATATCTGTCAGATCAGAGCTTTTGTGTGGGATAAATAAAAAAACACGCTTACACAGCAATTCAAATATAATGTCTGGAGCAAGTACTAGTTTCACAAATATTAATTAAACAGCATATGCCGAATATCCTTGGTTGCGTACGCCATAAAGTTCATCTCTACACATCCTGTCCAAATGACCAACTTCACGTGGCGCGCGAAAACCATCTCGCGCAGCAGCAGCCTGAGCTAATACTGTTTATACAATCATAAACACACTCCCAGCATATAGATAACTATTACGCAGTCTCGCTCAACAGATGGTTGGCTGTTCGGGAGCATCAATCTATAAGCTCACATCATCACAGGTATGTCCCAGAGCTGTAAATGCGCGCTCGTGTGTGTGTTACACAAGATTGAGTCATGGCAGTTCGGATGAGAAACTGTTTACGTTAGCCAGACGTTACACACACACACACACACACTGTGCGTCCTGAAGCTAGCTCGCTAGCACTAGCTCGCTCTAAAATGCACACAGAACAACAACCCCTCAACAATACGTATTTCGCCATGCTTCAGTACTCCAAATCAGACAAATATAACATTTAGCACCGTCTTAAGAGTTAAGCCCCAGCTGATCTAAACGTCATGGTCGCCTTTAGCCGGTTAGCGTTACAATGCGATGCCGCGCGCAAGATGAAAACAATAATAAAGGCATACGTTAAACGGACACACTGCGCTCGCACGCGCTCAGACTCCACGAGCCGCGTGGAAGCAACGGATCGAGAGTCCTGCAGGCACGTGTTTGTATGTCTAGTGCTTGCAAGTGGTAGAGGAGACAGTGAGAAAGGATACTCTTTGTTCCTGAAGGCCTCTTTAGTGTGCTCGATGATGAACACCTCCTCTGCTGGGCCCGGCGGCTCCGACAGCGGCTTAACCAAAGGGTACGGCTTCCGGCCTAGTAGAGGTGCCATCGCGGGCTTGCTGCGGTAGTGGATATGTCTGCAAAGTGAGCTACTGAACTAACCCCCCCCCCTCCTCCGCTCAATCTCAGCTCGAACTGAATATGCCGTGAAACCGCGCGTCTCAGCGGCGTAGCATCGGGCTAGGCTAGCGCGCGCTGCTTTACTTACTTTTAAGAAGCGCGTGAAAACAAAAGTACTGTTTTGTTGATCAGTTGTATCTCCCGTGTGAAATCCGCTGGTTTGGGGGAGCCGGTGGAGTCATGGTGGGATGTCTGAAGACAGCGTAAGGAGTGAACGGAAGGTGCCGGGGATGGAAGCGCGACAGGCGGCCCGTCAGAGCTGGTATGGCGGGCTTTCTTACGCCGCTCAGGTCCGTGTTGTAGACGATTCTCCAGGCCAAAGCGTCGTACCAATCCCCTGTCCGCAGCGACTATAGACCGCGTAGATATTGTTTTGAGGGACTTGCTGATTACATAAACAAACAAGAGGGTTTATAGCTGATTGAAAAATGGCGGGAGTTCCTGCTACGCCGGCAACATTCAGTACAACCTCAAAACTCCGTTACCCCGGTAGCAAGCAGCGACGCAAGGATAAGTCCCACCCATCGTCTCCAACGATTGGTTACTAAAAAAAATACGACACAGACTGAGATATTTGATTGGCCGATTGAACTGTCAATTATACCTACTCCACCTTTTGTCAAAGCAACACCCCTCCAATCACACACACAGTGTTTGGAAGCGTGGTTAGAGGTCAGTTTATGGTAAAGTCATAGATAATTTGAAAATGACAGTATGCCGTTTGCCTCATATACTTTAGTATTAATAACGGACATTTTATTTTCCATTAGAACAACATTTATATGGCCAAATGTCTAGAGTTTAGCTAAAAGAGGCAGCGGTTATAGAATTTAAAAGGAGACAATAGAACTTGCACACGACACTTTTGATCCAATTAAAGAGACAGTCTTGATTAATATGTTAATACCAGTCTTTACAGTGGAGACAATGTACATTAAAAGATAGTTTTTCACAGCCACATACAGTATGAGTTAATAAAGCTCTGTCTTAAGCATTCAAATAATGCTAAATTATTACATTTATATAAACTCATTTAAACACTGTATTGGAATTATATAATTTCAAGAGAATCATAATTTTGGGAATCGCCCTTAAGATCATGTCATATGTACAATAGTGTTCTGTCTCTGCCATACAACTTTGCAAGTTATGCAATCAGTGGAAAGCCGCATTTATAAATCCAAAGTGGTTTTATTTCCATCTGTCTAGTGAAAAAGTCCAGATACATTTTTACCAGGCAACACTACATGAATCATACACAAATTATTATTATTATTTTTTTTTTTAAATACTTCAAATACTATGGAAAGTGGAAGCCTTCATATTTAAAATACAAATCTGTGAGTGAGCTTACCATTTATAAAATATAAGCATTCCTTCTTATTCAATAAAAAGATTGATAATTGGATGCAGTACATTGAACAATAATAAACAAATCAAGAAACAGATAACACGGCTGTTAATCAACACTGCCTTAAAATGCATGCATTGAAGTATTTTTTACGATAAAACGAAGTAAAACAAGCCAATAAAAGTTATTTGTATAATCTTTAGAAATGCCACAAACACAAAACAAGTGAATTGTTTAAAATGCAACTGTTTTGTCATACTGTATATACCAATCATTACTCCATGCAGACACATGTCAAAGTCCTTTCTCAATTTAGAATGAGAAACATGCAACAGTCAGTTTATGTTCAAGATGCAATACAAACTGCTTTACCGTCATAAGAAAATACCTGAAAAGATCATCTTTTTAATGTACAAAAAAAGAAAACATGTCAAGCTTTTTTTTTTTTTTTCTTCTTGATCATTTACTGTAAAAGTGAAATTCAGGCATTTGGCAGGTTGTAAAAAGTCTCTTAGTCTCTTTCAGAAACTCTTCTATACTTTTGACCTGCAATGTTCAGCGTAGTGGTGCTAACTGAGAGTTGAGGTTTGCTCAGTGCAGACTCTTTTAAGCGGTGGGGCTCCAATCACCTCCTCTTCCTCCTGTGAAAAACTTTAACAATTGTAATTCCCACAATGCATTAGGTGAACATTTATTTGAAGGCTAGTGGATGTTACCTGAGTAGAGAGAGACAACACATCTTCTTTAAATAGAGTTGGGGGCTCATCCGTCACCTCACTGCTGCTTGTTGATGCATCTAAATATGGGGTTTGATCATGAAAATTCAAATGTACAAATACATGTACACATGTGAAATGAAAGATTAACAATCATTACTGTTATCTTACATACTTGGGTGAATCTAACAAAACATGCATACAATAAATCTTATATCACCCCAAAAATAAAAAGGAAAAGATACTGAATTAAATGTTGCTTTGAATTTAAGCCTGTTTCAGGACCATTTCGATATTTTTTGCTATGGCATTATTTTATGACAGTTCAACAAAATTATACACAAATTCTAATTTTCGAAATTCATTATTGTATGTGTAAAAAACAATTTTTTTTAAGGGGTCATATGATGCTTTTTTAAAGATCATTATTTTGTGTATTTGGTGTAACAGAATATGTTGACATGCTTTAATGTTCAAAAAACACATTATTTTTCAAATACTGTACATTATTGTAGGTCCTCTATGCCCCGGCTCTCTCAAACGCTTCGTTTTCTACAATGTCCCTCCTCCCGACAAGCGCAGTCTGCTCTGATTGGCCAGCTGACCCAGTGCATTGTGATTGGCCGAACACCGCAAGCATTCGGCGGAAATGTAACACCCCTTACCATAATCGCCAGCTTCATCTTTCAAAATAAATGTAAAGACAGAGCCCGAAAGGGGAACAGAGTCGTGTGACAGACACAGTGATGAAGCTGGTATGTGTTTGCAGTACACAAGCCACGGTTAAGTCAGCTGACTCCACTGTGATGTGATGTGTCTCTCTCTCTCTCTCTCGCGCGCACACACACACACAATGCGCAAAACTCCGCATTTGAACAGTCTTATGCTAACTCACACAAAATACATCATTGTATTGTCTTGTAATACAGTAAAACAAATCTATATTACAGTAATGAGAATCACTACTCAGGATAAGGGATATTGAAAAAAAAAAACAAATGGAAAAAAAAAAAAAAATATATATATATATAAAGGACAAAGTTTGGAATAAATAAGGTTTTTTAATGTTTTTAAAAGAAGTCTCTTCTGCTCACCAAGACTGCATTTATTTGATCAAAAATACAGTAAAATAACTAATATAGTGAAATTGTGAATTTTGTGTAATATAGTCTTCAGTGTCACATGATCCTTCAGAAATCATTCTAATATGCTATTTTGCTGTTCAAATATTCAATTATAGACCAAATATAATGTATCTGCCTTGTCAATTAGGTAAATCATCTTTTTGCTGAATGTTTTTTCACTGGTCTGTCTCACCTCTCTCGGCATCCATGGTCTCCTGTCCCAGGGTGGGCGGCTGGGAATCCTCTGTACGGAAGTAGGATGCATGGGAAGGGCTCACTGCCTCACTCACATGCTGTGGACTGGAGTTGCTGCTGCTGTCCACTTTGGTATTAGACTGATAGGCATCTGATAGGAAACTCTGGTTACTGTTGTCATCTGTTTAGGAAAGTGAATGTATGAATGAAACATATTTGCGTGAAGTCTCCTGAAGAAATATGTGAATTATGTTTAAGTACTTTAGCATACTGTAACGTTACAGTACATGCTATGTTAAAATAGGTATGCAAAGCACACTGTCAAGGTGCAAGGTCATTTAAGTAACTAGAGCATAACAACATAACCCAGTGTTGCGTTATATTAAATAGAGGATGTTCTGAATTGTTTAGAGAGGAAATATCAAGCTTGACCCTTGTGTCTGACATAAACATAGCCTGTTAAAACCTGTATTACCCTGAAAATCCAGTAGCACGGAACGGGCGTTTTCCAGCACCACATCTGTAGGAAAGCCCTTCAGCTCCCTCATTGCAGTACCTGACACTTTAGGCTTGTATATCTACAAGAAAGAAAAAAAGATGTTTTGAAAATGAACACTATATTTATATATCTGAAAAGTGGACAGCCACTAAATAAGATGACATGATATACATACCTGTTTAGTCTCTGTAACAGGGACCCATTTGAATATCCGTAATGACGTGTCTCCCACTGTAACCCACTTTTTTTCCCTAAGAGGACAAACACGTTCCAGGTTAATATTACAAAAATGCCTATATTTAAAGGAGAAGAAAAAATGTAGGATTGTTAATTTTTTCCCCCAAATTCTGAGTGCTGTTACGCAGCTGTGTGTGTGTATATATATATATATATATATATACATGCATATATATATATGTGTGTGTATATATATATATATATATATATATAGGCCTAATTTATAATTTTTTATGGAAAAACTACCACGTTTTTGGCAGGTTTCATGAGCATCACTCATATATGTTACAAGGATGTTCAACAGAGATTAATATAAAACTGCTAATTTTTACATTTCAGACATTCCGATCAGAAATGTATATGACAAAATCACTTCACTCCATTACAGATCACCAACAGATTGTACAATCCCCATTGTCACGTCTAAGACACGCCTACACGCTGGATACAGAGAAGCCCATTGGTTGCCTTGCTTGTCTGTCATGTTACTGACTGACGTCACCCTCCCCGCCACTCTGAAGTTTATTTTTGTAACGTAGAAGAAAAGAAACTTGTCTCCCTCTTTAAACAAGCAACTTACCACCGACGGACCCTTTCAATTGCCGCCATCACTTTTTTGATATCATCTTTTGCACGGCTGCGTGTCTCCGCTCGCACGGACCGTCCCGACATTTTAATGGGTTTTATTAGTTTGTCAAGATCTCCCTCTTTTTCTTGCCTTCTTCCGTCTGCGACTTGATTTCGCCCTGTCTTCGTCTTTGTCTCGCGAGACTTCATAACGCGCCACTGGCACTGCCTCTTTGCATTTTTTACATTACCCTTATTTAATTTATTTGTAAATTTATTTTCATTATAAAACATTCTGTTATCTAATAACCACAATATGGATGCACCACATTAAAAGAAGTGCGCTGTTTCGTGCCTATGATGCCCTTATCACACCACCAGATGGCAGCATTTTTGACTTAAAAATACTCTCCATTTGAGTTGACAGGGACAGGATATGCAGTACACTTCCTGCCTCGTATGTGATAAACATTTTTGGACAAAATATTAGTTGCACATTTTAAATATGTAAATATAATATAAATATATACAGTAGTCAACATTTGAAGTGGATCAAAAACGTTAATCAAAGTTGTCCTAAGACAAGAATGCATTTTGGTTTTAGGACAACTTTGATGAAAAGTTTTGATCCACTTCAAATGTTGACTAGTGTGTGTGTACCACACATACATACAGGTGCATCTCAATAAATTAGAATGTCGTGGAAAAGTTCATTTATTTCAGTAATTCAACTCAAATTGTGAAACTCGTGTATTAAATAAATTCAATGCACACAGACTGAAGTAGTTTAAGTGTTTGGTTCTTTAAATTGTGATGATTTTGGCTCACATTTAACAAAAACCCACCAATTCACTATCTCAACAAATTAGAATACTTCATAAGACCAATAAAAACATTTTTAGTGAATTGTTGGCCTTCTGGAAAGTATGTTCATTTACTGTACATGTACTCAATACTTGGTAGGGGCTCCTTTTGCATGAATTACTGCATCAGTGCGGCGTGGCATGGAGGTGATCAGTTTGTGGCACTGCTGAGGTGGTATGGAAGCCCAGGTTTCTTTGACAGTGGCCTTCAGATCATCTGCATTGGTGGGTCTGGTGACTCTCATCTTCCTCTTGACAATACCCCATAGATTCTCTGTGGGGTTCAGGTCTGGTGAGTTTGCTGGCCAGTCAAGCACACCAACACCATGGTCATTTAACCAACTTTTGGTGCTTTTGGCAGTGTGGGCAGGTGCCAACTACGACATCACCTGCTTGCTACGAACCGCCCCATGTACAACCAGGCTGCTTAAGAGGCTGGATGAGCTGATCACCTAGGCCAGAATGAAGTTCAAGCCGCAGAAGTCAAGGAGCCTCTCATTGCGAAAGGGGGAGAGAAATGACAGAGTCACCTTCACCATTAGCGGGGAAGACATCCCCCGCATTGTGGATCAGCCCATCCGAAGCTTGGGAAGACTTTATACATCTGGCCTCTCAGACAAGGATATGGGGAAATTCATCCTTCGGCAGCTGTCAGAAGGCCTGTCCAAGATCAATGCAAGCCAGCTACCTGGAAAGTACAAGGTACTAGAATACTACTGTTAGACCAACACGAAAACTGAACACTTCTGTGTTTAAATAATTTGTTATCATTTTTTTACTTGTCTTATATAAAGTTTGAATTTTATATTAGTTTGGCACATGCACATGTGTTTTGCACTAAAGAAAGTCACCACTGGTTGGCAACAACTGGAAGTAGGGATCGCAATGTAATGCTCCATTTCTCCCATCCTCTTCGTGGCAGCGTTTGAGGTCATCCTGATCGGGGCAAGGCAGGTGGTGGGTGGGGTCCGGCTGCCTGCAGGTCAGAGGCTCCCGCCCCTAAGGAGCTATATGGACGACATCACCTGCCTGCTACGAACCGCCCCATGTACAACCAGGCTGCTTAAAAGGCTGGATGAGCTGATCACCTGGGCCAGAATGAAGTTTAAGCCACAGAAGTCAAGGAGCCTCTCATTGCGAAAGGGGGAGAGAAATGACAGAGTCACCTTCACCATTAGCGGGGAAGACATCCCCCGCATTGTGGATCAGCCCATCCGAAGCTTGGGAAGACTTTATACATCTGGCCTCTCAGACAAGGATATGGGGAAATTCATCCTTCGGCAGCTGTCAGAAGGCCTGTCCAAGATCAACGCAAGCCAGCTACCTGGAAAGTACAAGGTGTGGTGTTATTACTTCACCTTGTACCCAAGGGTGATGTGGCCTCTGAAGCTGAGCGAAGTCACCTCATCCGCAGTAAGCCGGATGGAGGCAAAAGCCAACTCCTTCATCCGCAAATGGCTCGGCCTACCACGGTGCTTTTCAGCTGCTGGACTGTATGGATGGAACTCACTCCAGCTACCCCTGAAATCCATCACCTTGAGCTATAGGCAGGAGAAGGCAAGGCAGGTGATGGAATTAAGGGACTCCTCCGACAGGGCAGTGGCTGATGCAAATGCCAGAGTTGGAAACAAATGCCGGAGACTGGAAGGAAATGGAGGAGGTGCAGAAGGTGATGGGAAGACTGCAACATCAACCAATTGTGGGCATGGTCCAGACAGGGCGGGCAGGCCTTGGATGGAGCGAGCCACCCATCCTATGGTCCAAGGCAAGTAGGAAGGAGAGGAAGGACCTAGTTGTTGCAGAGGTCACCAGGATTGAGCAGGAGGAGCTCAGAGTAAGGTCTGTGGCACAGGGGCAGCAGGGACGGTGGACAACTTGGGAGGGTGTCGCGAGCCGAGCAATCAGCTGGGCAGAGCTCTGGAAACTACCACAGGCTTGGCTCAGTTTCTTCATTAGGGCAACATACGACACCCTCCCGAGCCCTAAAAACCTCCATCAATGGGAGGAGAGACTGGAAGCTGCCTACGAGAGAAAGAAGGCGAAGTATGCAGACTTGGTTGCGGAGTGCAGAGAAGGTGGATGGAGTGTGAGGCTGTACCCGGTGGAGGTGGGAGCCAGAGGCTTTGTGGGCAGATCAATATCATGCCTGCTCAAGGACCTGGGACTACGGGGAGCCACACTGAGCAGATCCACCAAAGAGCTCTCTGAGGAAGCGGAGAAAGCAAGCCACTGGCTCTTGCTGAAACGACGAGACAAGGCTTGGGGAGTAACATCGAATTAGCAAAAAACAAGAATCATTTTTATTTATTTATTTATTTTTGTGGTGGGGGCCAGAATAAAAATCTGTATCACTGAGTCCTGAATATGCATTTTGTTTTATTATTTTAACACAGTAGGCTTTTTTTTTGTCAAGTACTTTGTTTATTTTTACTGTTAAAAGATCTGATGCCTTAAATTAAACTTGTAAACATGTATTATTATTTTTTTATTATTATTATTGTATCTAATTTTAATATTTCACTTTGGCTGTAAGGTTTGAGCAGTTGAGAAATAAAGAAATTGGGTTCAGTTTTATTTTTTAAACCACAAATAGGTCAAGAGCATTATTTACAGTATCTTGGTGGATACTGCCACTGACCTCTCATTGCCACTGTTGTAATATATGTTGATTTATAACAGGTTTTTATAACATTTATTCCAGCCCCTAAACATCAACTGTAACTGCACTACCCCCCCCAAAAAAAGTTACAATTATTCTATATGGTAATCGACAGAAAGCCACATATTTTATCGGCAAATCTTAACTTGTATCAAACCTGGAGCATTCATATGAACAATATGAAGTATAGTGATACAAATACAGTTAATTAATTCTTGTATGAAATTCAAAAGTCTTTTTTAGTGTTTATATGTTCATATACTATTGGCACAATAGTCACTTATGCCAAAAGAAAATAAGCATCTGAATATGTAAATAGGAGAAATGTAAAATAAATGGGCCCTAGTGTCTTCTATCTATGATTTTAGCAGACACTCTCTCACTGTTCTCCTTCTCATTCATGATTCTCCTCAGCACTGTCTTCTTGTCCTCCAGGGCCAGAGCACACTGCTCCTTATAACTGCTCTCCAGGCCGGCCTCATACTGTCTCACAGCCTCCGAATGCCTCCCCTCATCTCCACAATCCTGATGAAAATAATCATAATACACACACACACACATATATCACTCATAAAGTATAAGACACATTTTAAAGGGGTCATATGATGCTGCTAAAAAGAACATTATTTGGTGTATTTGGTGTAATTAAATGTGTTTATGCGGTTTAAGGTAAAAAAAAAACACATTATTTTCCAAATAATGTACGTTATTGTTTCTCCTCTATGCCCCGCCTTTCTGAAACATGTCAATTTTTACAAAGCTCATCGGTCTGAAAAAGCGAGATGTGCTCTGATTGGCCAGCTGTTAAGTGCATTGTGATTGGCCGAATTCCTCAAGTGTGTGACGGAAATGTTACGTCCCTTACCATACTGTGATGCATGCGGCAACAACATGTGACGACCCGGGCTGGACTCCGCTTCATCCACGGTGAAAGCCGATCCGGCGATCCACAGCGCAAAGTTGA